TTTTACTGTGGAATGAATTCTTTGGCGGGTTGGTTCAAAGAATGACTACAGTGGTTTATATGTATTGCTACGTTAATTGAAATTTCTACTGTAGAATGAATTCTTTGGCGAGTTGGTTCAAAGAATGACTACAGTGGTTATGTATTGCCATGTTCATTAATTTCTTACTGGGGAATGAATTTTTTGGCGAGTTGGTTCAAAGAATGACTACAGTGGTTATGTATTACAATATTCATAGAAACTTTTACTGCAGAATGAATTCTTTGGCGAGTTGGTTCAAAGAATGACTACAGTGGTTATGTCTTGCAAAATTCATTGGAATTCTTACTGTGGATTGAACTCTTTGGCGAGTTGGTTCAAAGAGTGACTACAGTGGTTTATATGTATTGCTACGTTAGTTGAAATTCCTACTGTGGAATGAATTCTTTGGCGAGTTGGTTCGAAGAATGATTACAGTGCTTATGTATTGTTATGTTCACTGAAATTTTTACTGTGGAATGGATTCTTTGGCGAGTTGGTTCATAGAACGACTACAGTGGTCAAGTGTAACCGCTAGTTTAAATAAAGTAGTACTATGTCAGTATTAGTTCATTCAGTGGAATTCTATAAGTTGGAATGCCAAATTTTAATTTTATGAAGTGTATTATTTTCATTTGAATTTTACTTTGAGTGAACTCTTTGGCGTGTTGATTCAAAGAATGATTGTGATGTGCATGTGTTGCAACGCTAGAATGAGCGTGTCAACCGTATAGTGAAGTTCCATATTTGCGCATCATTGTACAATGCTATTTTTTATGAATCGATGATGAATTCATCGGAGGACATGGAATGCGTCCGAAAATGGGTGGAGTTCACCCGTCCCAGTGTATGCAAGCCGTAGTGCATGGCACGTAATCTGTGAGTTATTGGTAATGATGCATTTGATTGCCTTTACGAGTTAATCTGGGTTATGCCGTTAATTTGTATGTAATTATGTTTCTCAAGTAGTTAAGGACTGGGCTGTGCAGGTCACGTGACCTATGATGTCAAAGCAAAACATCAATGGGCCAAGTAGAATGGCTGTGAAAAGAATTTCTTTGATGCTAAAACGTTTAAGAAACTCAGATGCATACAAATAAGGTCATTCTCGGGAAACTCGTATATTTTCCCTGCTTTTCTCTTTAATATCATACAATGATACGTATGTCTCGGAGTTGAAACGGTTCTGTAAACGGGGTATCTAAATCAACCCTCCTGGTCATACTAGGCAGAGCTGTTACTCCGCTGACAAATGGGGTTTATTGGCATTGTATTTTTCCGTGATTTTAGGAGAATCTGTCATGATCTTGGGAATATGATCCCGATTTTGACTGTCAGATGTTACTCGCAGTGCAATTCAATAGCGTTAAGTGGATCAATGTGTGTGGAAACCCCGTTGCGGTCGGCGGAGGGGTGACAGCAAATGAAAAACTCGAAGCCTTTTTCCAAGAAGGTAGAGTGTGGTACGGCCATCGGGAAATTTGACAAGTTAGTCTTTCCTCTCAAGAAACCCTATGAAGATATCAGAGATTGGATTCGTGATAAGGTTTCCATATTTCCCTTCATGCAACACTTTAAGGGCTCTTTCAACGAAAAGAAGTATGATTGTGACCGACCCCATCGCGGTCGTTTAGAAACAATCTGTCATTCAAACCATTCGTGAGATTCATTCAGCGCACTCTAATTGATCGTCTGAAACAGGAGCTGTTTCCTTACTGAGGAGAGTAGGGTTAGTAGTGCGGAATGAGATAAGGAATGGGATAAGGAATGGGATAAGGTTTGGGAGTGTTGAGGTTTGGGAGTGTTGAGGTTTGGGGTTTGGGTTGTTATTTGTAGGAATAATGGT